GGTCTGAATACTTATGACCATGTGATATTTCAGTTTTTCTTTTTTAATAAATCTGCAAAAATGTCAAAAATTGTGTTTTTCTGTCGATATGGGGTGGTGTGTGTACATTAATGAGGAAAAAAATGAACTTAAATGATTTTAGCATATGGCTGCAATATAACAAAGAGTGAAAAATTTAAGGGGGTCTGAATACTTTTCATACCCACTGTATGTACACAAATAAGAAATACATGTTATATAAAAATATATATATATTGCATGTGTGGTGTGTTTGCATGTATACACATATTGTGTGCAAAAATATACTATATTATGTAAAAAGGTACACACTCATGGGTAAGCAATCAAGAACACTTTATTGATATAAACCTATTTTCCATCCAGTGACTAAAATACAGCACTTCAAAACCACCATGTCAAACTAATTATTTAGAGAGAACAAGTAAACTTTAAACAAGCCAATCATCTACACAAGGTCCAGAACAAGGGGAAAAATGATATAAAGGGTCCAAATATCCAGTCCATTATCTCATTTAACACATAATTCTCATGTAGCACATAAGCTAAGGTGCAGATCCCGCAGGTCGAGAGAGAGAAAGGAAGAAGAGAGGCAGGCCGCGCCGAGCGGATGTGACACCTATGCTGCCACCAGATTTTTGTCTCCTCTAGCTTACAGCTGTATAAATATATTAAAATAAATAAAGAGTAATATTCAAGCATTTATCATCCATCAAAGTTTGCTAAAAAAAAGTATATATTTTAAGAGTGTTTGGAACAAGTTTTCCTAATCAGGCTCGCTGTTGCAGCTGCTGTTAGACAAAAGTGCATTAATGTCACAGCTGCACTTATATTTCTAGATTCACTGAATTAATTAGACAACTCAGTTCTTTATTTAAGCCATTGCCAGAGTGAATTGTAGTATCAGAGGTTGATGGCATAATGGATAATTATAACACTGATCAGCTCTTCTGGAACCAAAAACTCCAGGTTTTCTATGTCAGGGTTAGTCAACCCCTCAGTTCAGGGTCACCTTCAGAGTTTGTTGACCCTGCTTTATGGAAAACCTCAAGGAAATAATGTAAATCTTTCAAAAATCTCCATGAGGGAAGAAAACAACCAAGTGTGTGTCCCTTTGTTTTACTTACATTCTGGGGACCAAAACCCGTTAACACACTCACATTGTGAGGATTTTCCATGTGGCGGACCAGAGGCTGGTCCCCACAAGGGAATCACTGAATTTTAGGGTGGCAACATGGTTTAAGGTTAGGGTAAGATTAAAGTTAGGGTCAGGCTTAGGCAAGTACTGGTTATGGTTAGGATAAGTCCACAGGAAATGAATGTAAGTCAATGTAAAGTCCCTACAAGGAATGAAAACACAGCTTAGGTGTGTGTGTGCCCATGCTAGCTAAAATCATGCAAACTGCTCACCATCATATTTACTGTAAGAACATCTACAAAAACTGCACTGCAACTCCTGAACTGGATAAATAGAGCTAAAACTGTGCTGCACAAGTTTGTTTGTGGGTTTGATATAAGAAAGGAAGAAGGAAATGGAATTGCCAGTTAGTTTTATGACCTATACCATCTGAAATTACAAGAGTGGACCCAGAGAGCAACACTCAAAACTGTTAACTAGCTTTGAGGAACAGACAGGGGAAATGTCACCAACCCAACAGGTCACAGGAACGGGAAGGAATCGACTGGGCAACTGGTGAGTACGATGAAGAGAACAACCTGGGGTTGCAGGTGGGAGGATCCTCAAAGGGTGTAGTGAAGATGAGGAGGCGGCAAATGAAGGCTGAGGTGAGTTCAGGGATGGATGGATGCATGGATGGGAAACCCTGTGCTGGTTGTCAATGGGGACTGCGAGTAGAGGCAGCACAGGAACAGGCAGAGTAGTTGGAGAGGCTCAACCCTGGGAGGCCGCAGATGATGCTGATGGAGGAGTGGAGACCCACATTCAAGGCTGGAAGGAGCATAAGTACTTTGTCAGGATCTTGCTCCTGCAGCACTCAGGAGGATCAGGTAAGAGTGACAGTACTGTAAGTATACCAAACACCAGTGTTTTGGGTCATTATCCTGTTGCATCACCCAACTTCTACAGAGTTTCAGCTGATGCACAGACATTCTCACATTATCTTGAAGAATTTTTTGATATACTTGGGAATTCATCTTCCCCTCACTAATTGCAAGCTGGCCAGGCCCTGATGCAGCAAAGCAGGCCCAAATCATGATGTTTCCTCCACCATACTTTACGGTTGGGATGTTTTCATGATGATATGCAGGGCCCTATTTATGCCATATGTAGTGCTGCGTGTTCTTTTCAAATAGTTCAATCTTAGTTTCATCAGTCCACAAAACATTTTGCCAATACAGCTGTGTCAATGTGCTCTTTCACAAACTTCAGGTGTGCAGCAATGTTCTTTATAGTAAGCAGCAGCTTCCTTCCTAGTGTCCTGCCATAGACAATCTGCGTGTTCAATGTTTTATGTACTGTAGACTCATGAACATAGATGTTATCCAGTTCCAATGATGTCTTCAAATCTTTGGCTGTCACTCGAGGTTGTTTCTTTACCTCATTGATGAGTCTTTGTTGTGCTCTTGGGGTCATTTTGACTGGATGCCCACTTCTTGGTAAAGTAGCCACTGTCCCAAAGTGTCTCCATTTGTAGATCGTTTGCCTAACTGTAGACTGGTGAATTTCTAACATCTTTGAAATCACTTTATAAACCTTTCCAGCTTTATATCAATCAGCTATTCTTGATCATAGATCCTCTGAAAACTCTTTTTGGTGAGGCATGGCTCACATAAGCATATTCTTCTTGTGTGGAGCAAACTCAAAAGGTTTGAATGGTTTTTATCAGTCAAAGTAGCTCTAGTCCACACCTCCAAACTCATTTTCTTAACAAGACTCCAGGTATACTAACACCTGAATCCAATTAGCTTTTGAGGTCATTAACTCAAGGGTTCACATACTTTTTCCACTAGAAAAAAGATCAGAATTTTTTGTGTTATATTAGGCACATTATATTCATAAATACTCTTGACTTAGATGAAGATCAGATCACATTTTATGACAAATTAATGCAGAAAACCCATGAAGTTCCAAAGGGTTCACATACTTTTCTTGCCACTGTAACTTAAGTAATGACAGGAGTGCTGCGAAGAATGTCTCCACACCGGAGTTCAGGGGAAGCAGGTGGCGTGTTGATGGGTCTCGGGGAGCAGGATGATCAGGTAAGAGGCAGGTGAGTAGCTCTTTAGCAGAGGAGTTCGGTGTCTAGATTATACTCACACCGGAGAACAGGATGAATAGGTAAATTGCAGGTGAGAAGCTTAATTATCGGGATGTTTGATGTGCAGGTTTCACTCACCAGACAACTGGATGAACAGGTAAGTTGCTGGCGAGAAGCTTATTCAGCTGGAAAGCGTGATGTGTGTAGGTCTTCCCCACACCTGAGAGCAGGATGAACGGGCAAGTAGCAGGTGAGTAGCTTCATCATCAACTTTATTTATATAGCACATTTAACACAGCCGAAGCTGACCAAAGTGCTTAACACAATATCCACAACACCCCTTAAAAAACAACATAAACGAACAGCAAAACAAAAACATCATACTTAAAACAACCCCCTATCATAAATCACAAGCTCAAGACACAGGATCATACTGGTTCGAACTCCAGACGGTACAGATGAGTCTTCAAATAGGTTTTAAAAGTGGACAACGAGGGGGCCTGTCTAATATAAAGGGGCAATGCATTCCACAACTTAGGCGCCCCCACAAAAAAACTCTATGGGGTACTGGGAGCTTACTCCGCAGATGAGTTCGTGGGAAGGAGGTAAGGTCCGCAGCCCAAGCCAGTCAGAAGATCAGGAAACAGAGGAGCCAGAAAAATATCAGGTAGCAGACACAACAAACTGGCGACGAGGACACACCAGTGCCTGGCTTAAGTACTGCCGGGCAGATTGGTGTCAGCTGTGCTGGGTGTGCCTTGCCGCCAAGTTTGGTTGCTGGCACATGAGGGAGCAGAGGTGCCAGCTATGGACGTGACAGTTTGTCACAATGAAACAGTAACTATTGATGCCATCATTGTATGAGAACAGTTTACAAGATTTTATGGTTAAATAGTCATAAGCTACTTTACACATTGTTCTGGTATAAGTGTATGCATAGTGTATTGTATGTTTTGTTTGACTTGAAGTGGAACCATTAATAATAACTTAAAATAACTTGTTTGTTTTGATTCCAGGAGGCTCATCCCCATCCTGAGTTCTACGAGAGAATCATTCCTACACTGAGACACAAGGTAGGGTTTCGTCATACCACCTTTATACCTGTCATTGCTCCAGTTACATGTTTAATTTAACCCTTTATATGGTGCTCATTGACATACTTAGAAATTAAAAATTTCAACCCTAATAAGGGGCAGGGGTAGTTTGGGTGTGAGAGACTCAGAGTGAGGCTTTTAAATGAGTTATAACTATGTTTAGGTCTAGGGTTGATTAATAAGTTTGAGTTTAAGATGGCTGCCGTACATCCACCTCGACCTGCGCTTCAAGGGCTGTGACAGGTACTGTGATCAGGTGGGGTTATACAATTTAGGTGGTAAGGGGGCTGAAACTGTCTCTATGGGGTACTGGGAGTTTTGGGTGGGTAGCAGCTGCAGAGAGGTGTGCAAGACTGCGACCCTGTGTCCTGGACTCAACTCTGGGTTGTCATAATTTAGGTTGTAAAATAAATTCACCCAGACTTCTAATTTTAGAGTCACACCATCCAAAGTAGGATGGATGCCATCTCTGCTAATCAGACCAGGTTTTTCCCAAAATGTTATCTAATTGTCTATGAAGCCCACATCTTTTTCTGGACACCACCTAGACAGCCAGTGGTTGAATGGCGATATGCAGCTAAACATGCCATCACTGGTCAGATTGGGCAGGGTCCAGAGAAAACTATGGAGTCCGACATTGCTCTGCAAAGTTACACACCAACTCAACATTAATTTTAGCGACCTCTGACTGGCATAGATGAGAGTCATTAGTGCCAACATGAATAGCAGTCTTACCATATTTATGTTTATTCTTAGTCAGCAGCAGTCACAGAACTTCCATCGGTGTGATAATATGGTTACAGACTTACTGTAATTTTTAATAGTCTTCTTTTGTTAGACAACCTTTGAGTGGTTTTTATCAGTCAAAGTAGCTCTAGTCCCCACCTCCTAACTCATTTTCTTAACAAGACTCCAGGTATACTAACACCTAACTCCAATTAGCTTTTTTGAGGTCATTAACTCAAGGGTTCACATACTTTTTCCACTAGCACTATGAGGTTTTTATGGTTGTTCTCAATAAAGACATGAAAGATCAGAATTTTTTTTGTGTTGTTATATTAGGCACATTATATTGGTCAGTACTCTTGACTTAGATGAAGATCAGATCAGATTTTATGACAAATTAATGCAGAAAACCATGAAATTCCAAAAGATTCACATACCTTTTCTTGCCACTGTGGACTGTTTATGCTGCACCCTGATTAAAGGAAAATGTTTCTGCTGGTATCTGTTCAGAAACAGATTTATAAATGTTAACTTGCTGTTGCTCAGAAGGTGCCTGTTGTAATGTTATGATCGTGGCACTGGACTTTGAGGGTAACTTGTTTTTCTATAACAAACTAGATAAAATGTTAATGCCCTGGCAGTGGCAGATAGCTTTGGTTTTATATTTGATTTGATTATATTAGTGTTTGAGATTTACAAGAAATATTTTAACTGCTACTGTGTAAAGGAAATGCTGCTGTTAAAAAGCACCTTATTTGTTAAAGTGTTTGCAAACCAAATGCTATTGCACTTTTGTTCATATAGCAGTACTTTTAAAATAAAAGTGCACAATACACTACTTTTGAATTCATTATTGAATGCAGCTCAGAACAATGCGATTAAGGATTTTAGTCTTTGCCCAGCACTACTTTTTACATTTAATTTAATGTTACTCAAAAGACTTGGTTGACATTTTTCTGTGTTTTTTTTTTTTTTTTGTACAGTGATTAAAACAAAACCAGAACAAAGCAAAACTCACTCCTCCAAAGTCACCTATCATTCAGGAGCCAGGCACACAGAATTCCTTATGCTCTGATGTATGGGAGCTTGTGGTGTGGTGGATTTTTTTTTTTTTGTTGGTACTTTTCTAATTCTCTGAAGAATTAAACAAATGCAGATTACCTTATTTTAATAAAGTAAAAACTGCATTGTGGTAATTCTAGATTATTTTGCTTTCAAATTCAATCGCAGAAAATAGCAGGGAGCATCTGAGTGGTCAAATCCTTTCTCAGTACCACCGGTCAAACCGTTACTGACAAATACCTTATGTTAAATTGGTAATAAGGTAAATATCAGGGGAAAGTAGCCATTTCTTTCTGGTAAAAACACAACAAATGAAAGACATAAATTAAAATATTTTATTCTTTGTCCTGCCACTCGTAACTTGTTGTGAGTTCACTATCTGAACATGCCACAGTGCACCACATCAGACACTCACCCAGACAGCCTAATAAGAAACAAACAGGGCACATAGAACAGAGGTCTCATGCTTGAAATTGAAATAAGAAATAAAAGCATGGATGACATTTACTTAGTTTATGAGAATAATTATTTTCTGCTTCTTGGCCTTTTTAAAATTCAGTTTTAAAAATGATGCCAAAATTGTTTGTCTGTCTTGAGGTACAGTCCATAAATGGTCTTATAGCGCCTTTCTATGCTTTTACAGCACTTTCACATTATTTGGCCATTCAAGCACTCACACACCAGTGACATCACCGGGAGCAACTGGGGGTTCAGTGTCTTGCTCAAGGACACTTCAACATGTTGACTGGACAAGCCGGGAATCGAACCGCTAATCCTCCTGTTAGGAAACAACCCGCTCTACCTCCTGAGCCACAGCCGCCCCATACCTTGCTATCATACACATGTGGAGAGGAGATTTTTGTCTGATGAAGCTAGTTTATTTGGCGAACTGCTGGTTTTGGTATTACTTTATACTTGGTGATCATCTCCGTTTTATGATGACCTGTAATGCCAACTCTCTCTTCTCTTAGGATGTGGGTCTCAACACTGATGCAGTTGTGTACCAGTCGTCCTTAAATTCATGCTACTTGGATGGTCAGACAAAATCTTTAGCTTTCCCCCACCGTCACCACTCTTCTAAGGAGAGCAGTCATGGCCACTCCTTGTCTTCCAACCATCAAAGTCTCAGTTCCATCCAGGTTTTTTCCAACTCCTCAAACAAACACCCAGGTGAGGAGATAAACCACTGTTTTACTCCATTGACTACTGAAGTCACAGTTACCATCTTTGGACACAAACACACATCATTTCCCGCTGCTAAACATGCAATGTGGTGTTTCACTACAATATGATGAAACATTATGACTGTATAGAGGACAAGTATAGAAACGAGTCCTTTGTCCTTTGACTGAACATCCTCAAACAAATCATTCCTGTGCAGGTGGTCACATAACCACTTTGCAGCAGCTTTTTTTTTTTTGCTGTTAACAGATTTCCTTAAACTTGATAACAGCATTGTCAGATAGACATCTACTGTAGTGGAATTGTTTCCCACATAGAGTATAATCTATGAATGTAAATTCAAAAATTATTAGAAAATGGTCAGACAGAAGAGGGTTTTGGGGAAAAACTATTAAGTGTTCAGTTTCGATGCCATATGTCAGAACAAGATCAAGAGTGTGATTAAAACAGTGAGTGGGTTTATTTACACTTTGAGAAAAGTTCATTGAGTCTAATAATGAATTAAATACAGCGATGAGCATGTCATTGTCATTGTGCATTTATATGAACATTAAAATGACTAAATAAATGTTATCTAAATTGAAAAAATACTTAATCAAACAAAACAAATATTAATAACACTAATCATCTAGCAAATAGGTCCTCGACCATACATTTTAGTTATAGCAGTGTACAGAGTTAGTACAGTGGAAAATACAGATTATAGTAGAATCTAATGTGGGAGTGTTTGGTGCTGTGTATTATCTCTGTTTCAGAGAACTGCACTATCTGTGGAATATTCCGTATCTCTGCCCGCTGCCTCACCTGCCTCCAGGAGCTCTGCTCAGAGTGTGACAGACTGTACCACTCCTACCCTGAGAGGGCCAACCACCGTCGAACATCATCATCTGAAAACAGGAGCAGTCACAGGTCAGGCTCAGTACTTCTGGTAGTATAAACTGGGAATGGGAATACTCATAGCCCATCAGTCCACATCCAGTCCTGAATGTGGCTACATGTCAATCAATGTCACAATTCAATCCAGGAATCATTAAACAATTGACTCTTTAATTATGGAGGGATAAGGTCTCAGCATGAGGTTTACAGTATGTGTCAGCACATGTTAGCATGTGTCCTGTTCTCAACTGAGTCTTCCTCCTGTTCAGAATCAGACTCTGATGAAGCAGCCAACAGGGCTACCTTTTTCTTTGGTGGCTCTGATGTTGTTGCTTCCACAGGTTTCTCTGCAACAACCCTCTGTTCCTTGAGTAAGTTGGTGACTGAAGCCCACACCTCACCCCTCTCAGCTCCGGGTATGCACTCGAGGTCCTTGAATCTTAGGTCCAATGCGGTAGCAATCTTCAGATATGCAATGTTGGCATTTTCCTTGTGTGTCTCCAGGTCTGTTCTGAATGTTGAATTTGACCACGTAGACAGGGTCATCAACTGAGCTCTCCATCACCTGAGAGATGACAAAAAGCAGGCAGAACCACAGAGCATGAAACATACTTTTCTCCTCCTAGACGTTCAGTCACATACCTGCAACAGAAAAAACTAACCCATTTCAGTCAAAATGTCAAGTCAAAATATACCTGCAGGACTCCAGTAGCGTTTCCAAGCTCTGCAGTTTGTCCATTTTAGCTGTAGTTGGCATGGCAATCTTGGTGGTGTGTGTGGTGAGGACATCCCTCAGTGGCTGTTCGTTTCTGCGGACGCTTTTTATCATGTCCAGAGTCGAATTCCATCTGGTTGGAATGTCTTGTATAAGCAACTCCTTCTTTTGTCCACATTCAATTTGTTGTTCTAATTCTGCAGCACTTGCTGGACTGTGTTTAAAGTGGCCCACAACCTTTGTGCATTTGGCCAGGACATTGTCAAATGCATTGTTCTGCAGAGAAACTGTGACAGAACAATGGAGACTGTGCACGACGCAGAGGATGTGTTCAATGGCAGATGTCTCGCAGCAGCGGTCATATTTCTTGCACTATCTGTGCCAAGTGTGCTGACTTTATTTGAAACGTTCCACTTCTGTGCAACATGAATGAAATGCTCTGCGCATGTTTCAGCAAAATGTCTATCTTCTGTCTTCATAACAGCATGTGAATGCAGCTCCCACTGTTCATCAAAATAATGCACTGTAACTCCGAGGTAATTGTGGTTACCCAGCGATGTCCAGTAGTCTCCAGTGAGAGCAATGCCATTACAACATGCACCAACCAAACAACTGACAGTGTTAATCAAATATTGCCTTAACAAAAAAATAACCCTCAGTCCTGGGGAATATTGAAAAACGTGGGAAGTCTGGCATGACACTTGGCAAAACAGTCTTCATGTCATCATTATCATTAAGGATTATTCTTTCTTACAGGCTGGGGCACTGTGCGGATCTAAATATTAGAGAACACTGAAACAAACAAGATTGTTTATATACTGCATTTTGATTATATACATTTTTAATACTTTATAATTAGTGTAAATTACCTAAACCAGGGGTGTCAAACTCAATCGCAAAGGGGGCCAAAACTCAAAGCACACTTGAGGTCATGGGCCGAACAGGATAAACATTTATTGAACACAAGTATGAATCTAAACAGACAGGATACAATATTATTCCAAAATAAATAAACTTAGACTTAAAATCACCAACCGTATTTCTACTAAGCCTTACATTTGCACACCTGCTTTTTGTCTGGACACAAGACGTTGCACACTTTCATCATGCAGCTCTTCAGAAACTCTCCCTCGGTAAATGGCCGGGCTGATTTTCTCCTCTGCCACAATAAAACTTATTTCACAGCAGCTTCACTGTGTGATTTAGCTTTGGTGAAAACGTCTGCTGTGATGTCAGATTCCTCTTCAACTCCTCTACCTTCTGTAGCTTCTGCTCATCATTCACGTTTTTCAGCTTGTCCTGATGTTTTGTCTCGTAGTGCCATCTTAGGTTATATTCCTTAATTACAGCCACATTAGCGCCACAAATAAGACACGCAGGTTTATCGACAACCTGCGTATCCTGCCCTGCTGGCCTCCGATGCTCCCTGCTTTTACTCTGAAAGCGCTTCCTGTCACCAGCTCATACACAACCCCGGTAACTTCAGATCATTATGCACTTTGGTTTCACCTGCCACTAATCACCCACACCTGTTCACCACAGCATATAGACAGAGGCGTAAAGCTAAACCCCGACAAATGTCACATCTGTGTACCAGAGGTCAGCTACTTCGGACACACACTGTCACAAGATGGTTTAAAACCAGACCCCCACAAAATTAAAGCAGTCCAGGAGATGCAACCACCAGAGAACAAGGTGGAGCTAGAGACAGTACTAGGTATGTTCACCTACCTGGCCTGGTTCGCTCTCCATCTCTCTGAGATGAATGCACCACTGTGACAGCTGCTAAAAGAGGACAGTGACTTCGTGTGGAATGCTAGCCACGACAGAGTATTTCAACAAATGAAAGACTTAAAAACTCAACAACCTGGCCCAGTATTGGCATATTTCGACCCACTGAAAGAGCTACAGCTCCAGGTGGATGCCTCAAAAAATGGCCTTGGTGCAGCCATGCTCCAAGACGGCAAACCAGTTGCTTATGCATCAAAATCACTCAACAGAACTATGCACAGATCGAGAAAGAGCTATACGCTGTACTGTTTGGCTGGCAAGTCATTGGAACAGATCTGTTCACTTGGAACTCAAAAGACTACATTGTCATTGTGGAGTCAGACCACAAACCACTGCAGTCAATACTAAAAAAAAACCCCACAGCCTCTCCGCCACGACTACAGAGAATGATACTGCAGCTACAAAGGTATGACATCAATATCACCCACCTGCCAGGAAAAGACATTCCGGTTGCTGATACTCTGTCCCGGAAATCAATTGCGCAAAATGACCAATCCCTGAATGAGAGCATGGAAGCACATGTGCACACAGTCATGAGTAGCATCCCTATAAGTGACAAGAGACTGGCAGAAATCATAGATGCAACAAGCCAAAACACACAGCTCAACCTTCTGAGACCAGTGTCCCTGGATGGCTGGCCAGAGCCCAGGTCATCATACCCTTTCAGCATCCAAGAATACTGAAACTACAGAGATGAAATCGCTGAGATTGACGGAATCATGTTTAAAGGGGAGAAGATCATCATCTCCAGTAAACTCAGAAAGGTCATGTTAGAGTGCATAGATGCGAGCCACATGGGAACAGAAAAGAGTAAGAGCAGGGCGAAAGACATCTTGTTCTGGCCTGGCACGGGACAACAAATCGAAGCAGCTGTAGCAGCCTGTAACATCTGCCAAGAACGCTGCAACTCGAACCCCAGAGAACCCTTAATGTCTCACCCTGTACCCAAAAGGCCATGGCAAGTCATCGGAACAGATCTGTTCACTTGGAACTCAAAAGACTACATTGTCATAGTGGACTACTTCAGCAGATATTTTGAGCTATAGAGCCTACACTGCTGTACTTCCACATCCGTCATAACAAAACTGAAGTGCTGCTGCTATCAGTGTTTGTTGGGCCCTGACCTTTATAATTGGTCAGGGCCTGTATGCCCCTCCACATCTGCCGTGGGTCTCTGTCCCTCAAGTGGCCCTCTACCTTCCTCCTGTATGTCTCCTTGGCATGTTTAATGCCCCTTCTCAGGTCGGCTCTGGCATTGCTGTACAGTGAGGTGTCACCTGCTTTAAAAGCCAGATCACGGGCCCTGATCAAAGTCTGGACTTCACTAGTCATCCAGGGTTTCCTGTTTGGGAAAACCCATATGTGTTTATCCACAGTAACATTTTCTACACAGGTCTTGATGTAGAAAAGCACAGTCTCTAGACTACTTACCTACTCCAGCACCTGGTCGCCATTCCTGTACTTGCATCCATCACTGAGGTTTCCTGGCCACCCAGCGATGTTGCCTATCTGCCTGTCTGAACTGTCTAGCCAGCTCCCCAGACCAACCTCACCTTGTCGGCTCCCCTCACCTGTGCACTGCTGAGTCCCCAGTGGCACAAACCCTTCTGTCTGCCTGATTCACCTGCGTGCTCCTGGCCAAGACTCATTCCCATCCGTCATTTTGGAACCTCGTATCCCTACCTTGATTAAAGGTGTTTCTAAACTCTCTTCCTTGCCCTGGTCTGCATATTTTGGTCCCAGATCAGTGTGAGAAACCCATAACATAAACTGATATTTATTATATGCACAACACCAGTGTATTTACAAAATTTACTTTTACCACAAGTTTAATGTTAAAAGCATTCTTTCAAGTACCATTTGATTTATAAGATGGACTAAATGTTTAGGAATCGCTACATCAAGGAGATTAAGGCAAATGAGTGGCTGGCTGTAGTTTTGCAGATAATAGATTCAATCAATAGGACAAGTTGGACAGATATTGTGACTGGCCAAGTGTAGTGACTCTTATTATATAATTGTTAATATATTAAATATATATTAATATATGTATATATATTTTTGTATTAATAGCTGGAGTGTATAATAATGATTCTGAGAATGACTTTTTCATGTGACGTCTCTGTAATGATGGATGGGACATGAGATATGTCCAGAAAAGAGCAAGAGGCGATGTCCCTCACAAAGAATTTATTGGGCTTTATGAGGTTTCTCTGACAACAGGCGATAATCTAGCCAAAATTATCATGGATGTTTTGCAGCGGCTAAATCTGCCTATCACTGGGTTGCGTGGTCAAGCATATGATGGGGCTGCAAATATGTCGTACCATAAGACCTCTGTGTCTAACAAGGTGGACAGTCCGCACAAGTGCCATCAGTGCTGTGCTGAAACAGTAGAAGAACATAATTTTAGCTTTGGCTGAGATGGTAGTGAGTGATTCAGATGCAGCTAGTAAGGCACAAGGCCTGCATGACATATTTCAGCAGGGAAATGTTGCCCTTGGTCTGGTGTGTGCATTGGAAATAA